CTGGTTAGTCCAGGTCTGTGTCATTTCCCTCATGAGAAGGCTTATCCTGACACAGGACATTTTACCAGACGCTGTAGGTGACTAGTAGAGTGTGGCTGGCTCCCGTCCCTTGTTGGCAGATTGAGTTTTACTGATTCCTTTTCCTTTTCAAACACAGTGGTCGGGGATGCGTCCCACAGACTTTAGGCGGCCTCTGAGGGTGTTACCATAATCTGTACCTTCTAACCCGCTTTGAGGTGAGTCTTGCTTCCAGAGTCTTTCCCCATCTCACACTGAGAGTGCACAGGGGACTTGATCAGAAGCGTAAGTGTGTGCCCTTCGCTTGGGGAGTAGTGATTACTCAGTAGCACTTTTTCCCCCTCTGAAACTATTTTTAATATGAAAGTTGTAAACAATATTTTAACACAATGATAAATTGGTCAAATGATTCCACATTAACTCAATGAACTGTTAAACAGACATTAAAATGATAGAGAGATTTTACAGATACATAGGAAAGTGTTATTATAAGACTTAAAGGGAAATGGTGAACCAATAATTGCAAATGTTATGTAACTGCAACTATGGTACCTATACATAGTAAATAGAAAAATATACACATACAGTAGTATAGTACTGGTTGTAGAGTGGTAGGATGATGAATGTTTACAACTTTTAAAAATTAAGTTTCATGCTGTAGGAAGGTCTGGAGATGTCAGATCACTACGTTTACACCTGCAATGATCTAACCAGTAAGAGCTTGTACACCAACTGTGCTGGAATCAACATATGTGAAAATTTAAAAAATGGAAACAAATTCAGCTACTGAAGTTCATAACATGTAAAAAAACTCTTAAATTTTATCACTGCCTTTATTTTAAATACTGTAGCATAAGGAATCACATGCAGAAGCCACCCAACTCTTACTTACCTCCTGTATTCAGCAGAGCTCACTGAATATGAAGAGCAGATGGGCTCTTATCATAACAGCTAACGTGTTTGTCGATGCCTCACCCAGTGCTGTGCACTACACATCGATAGCACCTAACACACAACATCTCCTCCAGCCATCGTAACCCGTCCAGGAAGAACGTCCCATTATCAGTCTGTGTTAGGCGTGCACGTACCAGAAAGTAGCACATGTCCGACTTTTACTGAGTCGCTGTCACTGCCCAGCCCTCCTTCCCTCTGGTCGTCAACCCTTATGGAGCAGCACAGGTTCTCCTCTGCCCCTGTGCACTGTCAGTGTGACGCAGACTGGACCTTAGAGGGAGGGCCTGTGGCTCACAGGGCTGCCTGTGACTAGCTGGCATGTTTGCTTCATGGTAAGGAATCAGCAAACCTCTCTGTGGTTTCACATCTAAACCTCATCTTCCCGTTAGTGTTTTTAAAGTAATTCTTGTGTCTGTCCCTGAATGAACTCTCAGTATGAAGCATGTAGAGGTTGTTTTTTATTGATAAACTTGAGACCCCAGCATCTGGTATCCAGCTTACAATTTTTCTTAACCAAATTCGGACATCTGGACTGTTGATTGTTATTTTTAATCTTCACGGAAGGGCATGCTTTCTGAATCTTCAGAGAGAGGGTGGGAGGGAGAGAAGCAGAAAAGCATGTATGTGTGCCAACGGGGACCAAACCCTCAATGTAAATACAATATGGGCTCTGACTGGGAACCAGACCTGGGAACTTCCTGTTTATGGGACGCTGCTGCAACTTAGTGAACCACACCAGCCAGGGAGGATTATTGATTTTAGTGGTTTCCAATGGCTTACGTTGTGTAGGCAGGGAGTTCTAAATAGACTGGGAGCCTGGAGCAGGGAAAAGGACCTTGTTCCTTCCTGTCTGCCCGCTGCTCTTGTCAGCCTTGTCCCAACAGCTCCTGGCAGTGGCAGCAGAGGTCCCCTGCCCAGCCTTAGTCACTCAGCATCCCAGAACCAGCCTCCTCATTCCCTACTGGAGCCACAGTGCTGCTGGGGCACCCCTTCTCCTCATAGGATCAAGTCTAAACCTTGACTCTTCTGCTCTTCTGGATTCTAATCACCCAACCTCTGCTCTGTGCCCTTGAACCCTGGGGATGTCAGCCTCACCCAGTTCTGCTTGTTCATCTGAGAGCTCTGTGTTTAGTGTTGTAGTTCCCCAGTATCCTTGTAACCATTGTGTCGTATGAGAGTCTCTCTACTATCGTACAACACCAGCAAGGTTTCTTCTCCCTGTTGGGTTCCCATCTGATTCAAAGAGAGTATTAGAGGATACATGTTCCAGTCGGGTGTGAGACAAAACTCAGCCAAGACTAGAGATTGGGAAAAACCTGTGGGCCCATCTGCCCTGTGTACCACCTGCTCTATTTGGAAGTTTAGTAGGTGGGGAAATTCAGTTCTTGCACCACAGTGAATGCAAGGTGTTGTCATTGTAATGTGTCAAGACAGAAACCATTCTAGAACTTCTAAATGGATGAACATACACCCCACAGTGAGTGAAGGAATCCCCAATGCCACTGTCTTGCCACAAATGTCCCTGTGGAGAAAACCAGAGATGAATCCCTAGAGAGCCCCTTTCCCCTGGAAGGGAGCTATGGCAGTGTGCCTGGTGGGTCCTTCTCCCTCCCTACAACAAATGCTCAGAAGTATATTGGGAGGTGGTGCCGCTGAGCAGAGAATAAATCATCTCTTCTTGTGTGGGCACCTTTTCTCCTAAGAGATGCTTATGAGAAGGCAACACTAAGTCACAGATACTATTCTCCTTATTAGTGTGTTTTTGCTCAACCAAAGTCACATTCAGCTGGTTCTCATTTTTAGCTCTAAGTCTGTGGTAAGTTTTGTGTGTGGTCCAGTCTTTGTTCACTATGCTCTTTCAGACAGGCTGTGATGAAAAATCAGAGGGCAGAAGGGAATTGTTATTGTGTGTCAGTGCCAGGTGCTGCTATTTACAGACTTCGCTAATAGGATCATTTAAGTCCCCATCTCGTTTAGAGAAACCTCATGTGGATCATTTAATTTCATACATTTAGTGTAAAATTCCTTGTTTAAATGATAAGATATATTAGTTGTGTGAGAGACATGCTTTAAAGTATTTCCATTGTCCTGTGAAAATCAGTCATTTTTTCATGAAATATTGGACCAAATTGACAAAAAAAGTAGCTTGTTACAGTGGAGTGTCCGGAAAGTCTTATTTTTGAAAGTTAATTTACACTTGGTGAGTTAATTGAACATGATAATTATTATGTTTTCAGTCTTTTTAACAGTCTTGTCACTCTAAGCAGGTTTTATACACCAGCAGATAGGAATTGTCTTCTATGTCTCAGCCAAGACATGTGGATGAACATGGAATATGTTTAGTAAAAATCTGTGGATTTTTGCTTTGTGTTTTAGCTATGTGCAGCAGATAGGAGGGAGATGAGATGACAGTCACTGGTCCTTCTGCTTTAGTTTATTGTGTCCTTCATCATAGGACATTTTAGAAGTACCACTCCTCTCTTCTCTCACCCCAAGTGTGGCAACAAACCTGAAATGAAAATGGCTAACCCTTTTTGTACATTTAGGGCCAATGAGTCTTATAGTTAGAAGAGACCTGAGCATTTTTCTTGTTTAGCTTCTCCCATAACATGGGAATCCAACTCTCTGAGCTAAAGCATTCACTGACATGAAGTTCAGTCCTACTAAAACAACCAGTTTTCTTCACAAAGTTGATTCCAACTGTTATGACATTATTGCTTGGACTAAGACAATATCATCTCCCAGTGTTTCTGCTGTGAACTCTGATTTTCCTTTGAAGCAGGGTGAAGCCTTCACACTTTTGTTTATCATACCTGGAAAATATTAACTTATGAGGAAATTTGAATGGAGAATTGATATATGACCACAATTATGAGTTTTTGTGAGATTGTTATTTTAGTGAAATTCAGATGGATGCTGGACGGTAGAAGGATATGGAGCCAGACAGACAAGGAAACAGAAGCAGGGGTTTGATTGTAATAAGCCAAACCTCAGAATTCCCAACCTTGGACAAGTCCTTTTGTAAAGGTTGAAAACCCCAAGAAAGTAAAGATTCGTGATGAATAATGTTTTTATATTAGAGTTAAGCTATAAAATGCGTTAAAGGTTCTAAGAATATGAGTATCTAGTTAGAGCTTTAGCTCTAGCCTTGGATATTGATCAGTAGTTTTAAATCCAATGCCATGACCTGTCAAGAAATCATCCAAGCAGCATTTTACTAGTGAAGTAGAGTAGAAAATAATACAGAAAGTAGCAATTACCTTACAAAAAAGCACATAATAATAGTTCAAGTGCCTATGTGTGCATGATGTGTGTATGTAACTATATACATACCATATACTTTATCCACACAAGCATAGATATGAATATTCATATAGGGATGAGTGTGTGAGGGGTAATATCCAATCATGAAACAGCATGATCAGAGTAGAACGTCTGTGGGTACAAAAGTCAAAAAGCCAAGTTCTCTCCCTTAAATCAAGCTAAAGTTGTGGCAGTCTGTCTGCCATGCTCTTAACTTAATTCAAGACGTTGCTGCCAGTAAAAATTACAAGGCTAACACATAAGGCATCTAATGAAGGCATGAATCTGTGAGATCCCCTGATAGGAGGATCTCCCACAGGTTCCTGGTCCTCATTCCCACCCTCATGTGTGGGTGCACACCCAGGCCCACAGCCCCCTCCCCACGGTGGCTGTGTGTGCACTGCGGGTTGGGACTCTCCCAGGCAGGTCTCAGAAGCAATTGTGCTGACTGAGGAAGTGTCCACTGTTAGGGAGCCAGTAAACATGTTAATGTGTTAGGAACTGTGGTGGAAGTTTGGAAACAAACTTAAGATTTACTGAACACTGTAATAGAACACTGGCATTTGATTTTTCAGGGTGAAAAAATTCCTTCTGTGTCATTTTCCATGCACAGTATTCACTTAGTACCTGATGAATAGGATAGAAGTGTCACTGAAGTTGTTTTCTGAGGGAAGAAATGATGACACACAGAGGTCTACCATGTTAAACACATTCCTCAGGCACTCATGGTTGAACAGCTCTCTCCCTTATCCTTTCCCAGCAAAATAGGGGGCAACCAGACTTCTGTCACAGAGTTCCTCCTGGTGGGATTCCCACTGAGCCCAAGGATGCAGCTGCTCCTGTTTGGGCTCTTCTCCCTGTTGTTCGCCTGCACCCTGCTGGGCAACGGGGTCATCCTGGGGCTCATCTCACTGGACTCCAAACTGCACACCCCCATGTACTTCTTCCTCTCCTACCTGGCCACTGTCGACATAGCCTATGCCTGCAACACAGTGCCCCAGATGCTGGTCAACCTCCTGAGCCCAGCCCAGCCCATCTCCTTTGCTGGCTGCCTGACACAGACCTTTCTCTCCTTGACTTTTGGTTACACTGAATGTCTTCTCCTGATGGTTATGTCCTATGATCGGTATGTGGCCGTCTGCCTGCCCCTTCGGTATTCTACCCTCATGAGCTGGAGAGTCTGCATCACCCTGGCAGTGGCCTCCTGGGCTTCAGGATTCCTCATGACCCTAGTAGATATGTTGTTACTCCTACTGTTGCCTTTCTGTGGTCCCCAGAAAGTGAACCACTTTTTCTGTGAAATTGTAGCTGTTCTCAAACTGGCCTGTGCAGATACGCACTTTAACCAGGTTGTGATTGTGAGTGCGGGAGTGTTGGTGCTGGTCGGATCAGTGTCAGCAATTGTGGTCTCCTATGGTCACATTCTACATGCAGTCCTGCAGATCCAGTCAGCAGAGGGGCGCCGGAAAGCTTTCTCCACCTGCTCCTCCCACCTCGGTGTGGTGGGACTCTTTTATGGCACAGCCATGATCATGTATGTTGGACCCCAACATGGGGACCCCCAGGAGCAGAAGAAATACCTCCTCCTGTTTCACAGCCTTTTCAATCCCATGCTGAATCCCCTGATCTACAGTCTGAGGAACAGAGAAGTCAAGGCTGCTCTGAGAAGGAGGCTGGGAAAGGGGAGACCTTCATGAGAGCCTCACAGATAGAAAGTAACTGAGCTGACAGGGACCTGAGAAGTCACCTCAGCTGTGACTTACACAGGATACATAGAGATATTCTAGTTCCAGGGCATCCTTTACGTGTTCTTGAACTTCTCCTATTACTGCCTCCAGAGAAAGCCCATTCTGGTTCCTGCCCCCGAGGATGCTGCACAAGGAAATGAGCCCCTCTTCCAGCTCTCTGCTTGGTGCATGCACTTGTAATATTGTCATGCAGGATATTCTGAATAAGATGAAATAAATTTATATATTCCACTATCAGGATTTGTAGATAAAATTTTATTAAATAAACCAAGGTATTTGCAGACTATTTAAAATGTAGGACTTGAGACTGATTACATAATAATTGAAATATTTTAAATTTAACAACTGTCATCTTCAAAAATTGGTCTACATTTAAAATATTTGGTTGTTTTCCTGCATATGTCTATGGCAGTGATGCTTTCTGAGGCATCAAGAACATAAATTAGGAAGAACATGAGCCAGGACTTCAAGGGAAAGAGGATTAAGAGTAAAACTCTGATGGAACTAACAAGGAAAAGAGAACTCGCAAGGATGTCAGACTGAAACACACAGACCCATTGGAAATTTCTCTGCTGTTGTGTTTCTATGCTTTTGTAGTGTAGGTGGAGATTTGGGATGCTGGAGATGACAGGAAGAAGGCAGAATGGAAGTAGCTGAGAGTCCTTGGCAGAATTTACATTTTGTCTCATTGGTTCAGTCACTTGTCTCCTTTGGGAAATAACCAAAACTTAGAACATTCTCACAAATAAGGGCAGACTGTGTAATTGCTGTGATGAGTGTTTGAACAATGATACAAGACTATAAATTATCAGTAATACTGTGTTTTTTCAAGTAAGAGATATGAGATGAGTTAAATAACCATATTAGTCAAACATCATGCCCTGGCTGGCATAGCTCAGTGGATTGAGTGCAGGCTACAAACCAAAGCATGGCAGGTTTGATTCCCAGTCCAGGCACATGCTTGGGTTGCAGGCCACGGCCCCCAGCAACCGCACATTGATGTTTCTCTCTCTCTTTCTTTCTCCCTTTCTTCCCTCTCTAAAAATAAATAAATAAAATCTTTTCAAAAATAACCATATTAGTCAAAAATCAAATCCAACAAAATTATGAAGTGATAGAACACAGTTTAAGAGGTAGTGGGAAATGATGTATAAAGAGATTTTTTCAAAACTTTCCTCAAATAATATATTAAATTCAACCTGAACATTTAATATGGGACAAAGGAAAATATTTAGTTTTAAAATAATGTTTGTGTGTGTGTGTGTGTGAAGAGTTTTTAAAGAGGAAAAATAAGGATTTCTTTCTTACACTGCATTTGTTTTGTAAGAAAGTCTGCTTTGTAGATAGACATTACTACCTAAAAATAAATAAAGAGGTTAAAAGCAATGATTTTGAACTTAAGAAAAGCTGGGATTTTTACCAAGTTCTGCTAGTTGCTAGATGTCCAAACTGAAGCATTATACTTAAATTGATTGGGATTTACATTTACTATATATAAAATAAATTCATTTAAGGTGTCTGCCTTAAGGGTTAAGCCTCAGAGTAATAGGTCTTGATGCATTCATGAAACATGGTGAATGTAGAGATCTTTCTTTAGACAAAGCCTGAGTGTTGCCACTTGTATGTAGGTGTGGATCAGAAACTCCATGTTGGCCGTGAGAAGCAGACACAGAGTGACTGAGGGAGTCTGCTGCAAGCTGGTCAGTATTTTTTAATAGAACGTGCTTTAGTATTTAGATGTGAAATTGAAATGACTCCATATGAACTTTGTTGATTGATTTCAGCACAATTTACCAAAGCCAAGTGCTAGAAGCAACCTAAGTGCCCATGTGTAAATGAATAGATCACAAAACTATGGTACATTTACACAATGGAATTTGATGCAGCAGAAAGAAAGAAGGAGCTCCTACCCCCTGTGACAGCATGGATGGAACTAGAGAGCCTTATGCTAAATGAAATAAACCAGGTGCTAAAAGACAAATACTGTATGATCTCACCTTAAACTGGAACCAAATCAACATATGAACAAGCAAGCAAAATACAACCAAAGACATTGAAATTGAGAGCAGGCTGACAATGACCAGAGGGAAGAGGGGAGGGGATAATGGGGGGAAAGGGTGGAGGGTTTACAGGAACAATTGTAAAGGACACATGGAAAACAACAAGGGTAGGTGGAAACATGGGAAAGAGGTGGGGAGGGCTGGGGTGGTGGGAGGGAGTTGGGGGAAAAGGCAGAAAACTGTACTTGAACAATAAAAAAGTGTTTTTTAAAAAGAAATGTTTAGAGGAATTCATGTTCATTTTCCAAATCAGCTGCAAAAACAGTTGTCTAGTCATGAGGAGGGGATCACTCAAAGCTGTGAGTATGGTGATTCGGGGGCCACAGTAGATGCTGTCATGCAGGTTAGGTCATTCACTTATTGCTGCACTGTGCATGTTGGCCCATGTTAGTGTAAGCAGGTGTAATGGAAGTAGCTGAGAGTCCTTGGCAGAATTTACATTTTGTCTCATTGGTTCAGTCACTTGTCTCCTTTGGGAAATGACCAAAACTTAGAACATTCTCACAAATAAGGGCAGACTGTGTAATTGCTGTGATGAGTGTTTGACCAATGATACAAGACTATAAATTATAAAATTTGTAAAATACTTACAGAGCCAGCAGCAGAGCAGCTCTGTGAGACCACCTGGGGATGTGCTCACAGTGGTGAACAGGAAAGAGACCTTTCTGAGACAGAAGACTGCTGGCCCAGTCACCTTTCTGTAATCCTTATTAAGTCCTCCCAGTTTCTAACTGGATTTCTCCTGTGAATGAAGTATCTTAACAACATAGTTTCTTCCCCAAAGTGTTTTAAGAGTTTAAAGAAAAAAAAAAAGGACCAAGCATGAGCAGAACACAACATTTAAGTATCTTTGTAAACATTCTCAGACACTTTAAAAATAATTTCCCAAATAATCAGGACAAATATAATAGTAAATATTAAAATTAAAAAGATACAATTGGTTAATAAAATTATATAGATTTCAGCCCTGGCTGATGTGGCTAAATGGATTGAGTGCTGGCCTGAGAACCAAAGGGTCACAAGTTCAATTCCTAGTCAGGGAACATGCTTGGGTTGCAGGTTAGGTTCCAGATAGGGGGCACACGAGAGGGAACCATACATTGATATTTCTCTCCCTCTCTTTCTCCCTCCCTTCCCCTCTGTCTAAAAATAAATAAATACATTTTAAAAAAAATTAAATTATATAGGTTTCTGCTGTACATCTCTGTAGTATGTTATCTGTACATTGTAATGTGTGTTCACCACGGTGAGCCCAGTCTCCTTCCATCACCATTTATTCCCCCGTTACCCTCTTCTCCCTCCCCCCTCTCCCCTCTCCCTCTGGTAATCACTGTACTGTTGTAGGTGGCTGTGGCTTTCATCTATTTATTTGTTTTTGCTTAATCCCTTCAACTTTTTCACCCAGCCCCCTAACCCCCTCTCCTCTGACCCCTGTCAGACTGTTCTCTATCTGTGAGTCTTCTTTCTACTTTGTACTAAAGCTTTGAGAAAATAGGTAATACCACACAGTGCTTATCTTGCCAAGGACAATTTGGTTCATAAGAGCAGAGATGAACACCAGAAGTTTATTTTGATCCAGTAATTCCTATTTAAACAATTTATTCCAGGAAATAATTAGGTGAGCAAGGATTCCTCTTTGTAGTGTTAGTTTGTTGTAGCTAAATATTGAAAACATCCAAGTTTTCCAATACTAGGAGACAGGTAAAATACATATTTATACACAATGTGCATATTAAATAATATCTTCTTCAAATTCAGTTTTTGTTGTATATTTATTGGCTTGCAATAAATTTACAATTCATATTAAATGAAAAAAGATTACTCATACCACATGTATAATATGCAATAATTGAGAGAAAACTCACAGCAATAATAAAGAAAATGTTTTTCTTCTATGTGCATATTTCACTTTTCAAATCCAAATATGATGAATTGTCTCTATAACAAATATACATATATAATGTATTGTCTATTTAACTTGTATAAAAATTTTGAAAATTATAGTTCTAAAAGCAGAAAATCTATGAAACAAGTAGAGGTTTATAAATCTGAGCATTTATGGACAAGAAAAGACTATGGACTGGAATAAGGGAGAATCCAAGAAAATAGGCATGAATGCATGCATTAAAGAAGAAGGCAAGACATTTGGAAAAGGGCAGGGGGTGATAAGCATCCCATGACAGAACACAAGCCGGAAAGTGGAGCGGGAGGGAGGGGCAAGGGTAAGGGACGTGCGTCACAGCAATAACACGTGTCTGTGGGCAGGGACTGAGACGGGAGCTGGCATCCTTGCAGTGCAGCTGTGTTTGCATCAAGTGCTCATTTGTGAGGGGAAACAGCAGGCATCTGACTCCCTCCCCGGGTAGGTTACCTCTGGGATTTCTGGAATAGAAACCATGGCAATACAGCAGAGTGGCCATCCTGAAAACCATGTTAGGAGATAGCATCCAAAACTACTGGACAGAACATTTTAAAAATCATAAATCTTAAATGTATAACTGGGCTTGAAAGAGAGTAAGGAAAACTCTCAAAGGACAAAAATGAGGCAGAATCAGCAACTGAATGGGGAGATCTGCAGCCAGCACCTGGCTTCAAGTCCCTTTCAGTCCCTAAGGCCCCAGGTTGAAATGATGGCAATGGCCTATGAGACCAGGCCTTCCCTTATGCAGGGCGGGGAACTAGAGTGCAGGTGCCTTCATGGAATTGAGTCTTCCCTCCACTGCCATGAGGGATACAGCAATAATAATAATAATAATTTCTGACTGCTCAGTGGGAATCTTTGAGGTCAGAGGTCAATGAACAGTATCCGCAAAGTGGTGAAAAAATAATTGTCAATTCAAAAGTTTATATACAGGAAAATATGCTTCCAACATTAAGATGAAATGAGCA